GTTATTATTATTATTATTATTATTATTATTATTATTATTATTATTATTATTATTATTATTATTATTATTATAACAGGCAGGGTATAAGTCTAGAGTATGTCTCCGAGTACCGCTAAGATCGCCAACTCAGCAAAGAACTTTCCAATGCCGATTAAAGGGTTTCCAAACATTCTACTCACCGAAAAAAAAGGTTTGACGGAGGAAGGGAAGGGAAGGGAGGTTTTTGTCGAGGTAAAGAACGCTGAGAGGAGGACGAGTGTATTGTGATTTTGCCAGGGGGAGAGAACCGTAAACGATAGGGGAAGGGTTCCGGAAGTAAAGTGGCAGGTGGTTGTGCTATTATTAGTGTGCAGGGAAACGAGGGAATAGAGAGAGGCATTGGTCGCTGTCTCATTCATAGTATAGGGGCATTCCACGTCAGTTCCCGGAATGTGAACTCACTGTTTTGATTTGTACGTTGACAAGTTTAACTTTTTAACTTTCTTTGTCAGCTTTTTTCCCCTTTTGTTTGATGCTGCCATAGTAGTTTGATATTGTGATATTTTCTTTTTCTTTTCTTTTTCTTTTTCGAGATTTAACTCAATGGCCAACTGGCCTAAAAGGGGATGGGGGTGGGGGTGGAGGGAGTGTTCCCTGACGCTTGATGAACATACAGACCTGGTGGTCTCTGTCTAAGATCGACTGAGGACTAGAGAAATGGAATGCATTTCTCGAACACTTGAGAGAGTGACAGCGAAAACAATAACTACATCAACAACAACGCAATAACAACAACAACAACAACAACAACAACAACAACAACAACAACCTGAACCTACATTGACAAACTGGAATTAAAATGGCTGTTAAGATAAAATAAAATTCTTGTAATGAAATTTCTGCATCATCAAGGATCACCATTCAACAACATCAACAACTAAGGCAGCAACAGCAGCAACAATAACAATACCAACAACAACAACATTTTTAGAGTTTTGGTGAAAATATGTTATTACAAAAAGTAAAAGGTTGAAGAGTTTCTTGGAAACATTTTTTTAGGGTCCAGGCTGAACAAACGGCGAGTACGTAGATAATATCTCGGTTGTGGCGTTGGTCAGGATGTACAGTAGAAATTGCTCGAGACGCAACCCATTGTTGAGAAATGCAGTGGTTGTCTTAGATAGGCGGACGTCTTGGACGGTATCATAATCATATTATAGAAAAAGTACAATTAAGGAGGTGGTGGGTGTGAAGTAGACATTCGTACAGGTGATTGTCTTGGGCATGTGGCTGTAAGGGCAGATTCAACTGCACTTAGCTCTAGAACCGTAATGATGCATCATCGCGGGGACATCAGGCGGTCGTCGAAATAACTAAATCAAAGAAATCGAAACTTTTTTCGCCCATTCGGCAATTTTCTGAAAATCGATTATTTTTGTTTTGTTTAGGATTGAATACCTTTTTTCGCTAAAAAAAACCCACACTCCTGTACGGATTTTTTAAAAGCATAGATCAAAGGCATTAAAAATGTATTGTAGTTTCCACGGACATTACAGCTTTGGGAGTTACCAAACTTTGGCAGCCATTTTCTCCCTACTTTTACCTCTGACACCAGACGACCCCACCTCCTTCAATCACAAATACCTCGACTTCTATTTATGATAGGTGAACGTTTTCTTTTAGCGGTGAATCTGTATTCAACCTTTATGGACGTCTTTAAGGTGACCACGCAGATCCAGGAGGAAAAGGATTCCAGGTTCAAGACCAGTGACCGTTAAGGACAGGAACAATTAAAGGAGCACTGAAGGCAGTCCCTTCATTCTGTGTTTTTATAACTCTGCGTACATTTGAGAGAGTAAAGCATGTCATGCTGGACTACAGAGCGGATGATCATTGTTCGAGTCCCAGACTGAGCGTTTTTTAACCTGGGTTGATTTGGGTAGTTTTCAAGACTCTCAACAAAACTGGTTAAGTTCTATTGGAGACGAACTTTAAATTAGAAGGTCCCGCTTCTTAAGTAACTTCATAGTGTTGTTACTCTTACCAACTACAGAAGGAAATAACGAAAGACGTTGACGAATTTAAAAAACAACATAATATTTTATTGTACAAAGTATATCAGAAAAGCATTATCACAAGTGCAATGTCTTCTCCTAGCCATTTCATTTTCCATAGCCAGCCGTATGTTGTTGGCAGAACAAGCATTTTTGCATTCATAATCCTGTTTCCATTTTTTGAAAGTTTTTGATTTCTTTCATAACTTTGCACAAGTACATCAACACCAACTATTTAGCAAGTTCTCTTACCAGTGATAAAGCATACGCAAAAAAAGGTTCGAAATCAACGATACGCTTCATGTATTTGAGCCATAGTCGGGTGTTCTCGCTTTAAACGCACAAATATATCAATTTGTTCACAGCAGTTTTGGAATAACTTAACAATATTCAAAATTTTGATTTGAGAACATAATCACAATGAATAAATTTCCCCCATCTCCTTTTTCCAGAAAAAGCATAATAAATTATCTGCTTTCGCCGGTTTGGAATCGGAATCTCTGTGCGACGTTTGCTTCAATCATACGAGAAAAACGTAATATATAAAACAGATATCATTACGTCTTGAAGCAGAATTTCAAGAAGGATTATGTACACTAAACACGTTTGCCATACAAGGGAGTCGTTCTGAAGGACTGAATGTATTTTTGGGAGGTTACCATCACATAGCTATATTGTGCGATATAGCTTGAACTGAAAAAAGCAAAAGTAGCTTTGTTTGGGTTGTCTAAACCTTCCTTGTAAAAAGACCCCCCCCCCCCACACACACGCACACTTCAATAAAGTTTAAAATCGCTCCTTCAAGCTTGAGTTCCGGAAGAGTTCAGCTCGAGAAATTAAGCCGTCTTTTCTGCTATGGAATTAACATTATAAAATGGCTTTACAGAATATATCTTAAAAAAAATACAATGATACGAAACGACACCGAGATGAATCAAACCCCTACAAGGCCACAGCGTAAAAGGATGTAGCTTCATTGCCGTTTCATGTACATGTATATGGATTCCAAATGAAGAAGTTTCCTCTTTCAGGAAACGTTCCTTCTCGGTGTCGTTTCGGCTTCGGTGTCGTTTCGGCTTCGGTGACGGTTCTTACATGCGTATTTATTACATCTTCAAGGCAATTACAATATCGCTTGAAGTCGAGGAACATAAATAAATTAGACATTTTTGGTGACGTCCTGTTACTCTATCTCTCAATGCAAGGATTCTTGTGGTGTCAAAATATCATCCAGCTGTTTTATTTCTCTCCCTTGGTAGACTTGGTGGAGCCTTCTTGTCTATCCCTGCCAGAACTCGATGTCTCTGTCTCTGGCCAGGAAGTCGGGCAGCGGCTTGGCGTTGAAGCTCACATTGACGGGGGCAGTTCTTTGTAAAACGACAACAGTTCTGTAAAATAGGCAGGGTTGGGGTGGGGGTGGGGGTGAAGGAACGTAAAAAATCCATTAGTTCATCTCGAGCTATAGAAGAACAACAATATTATGCAACAAATGCCACGCTTTGTCACTTTTCCTGAAGTTGTACGCCCACTTTGACGAAGACAACATTCTGTGAAAACAGAGTAAGGCGGTCTCCATATTATGCAGGATCCTGGTCAAGATTAACTATTCTAGGAAAATAGTGAAACATTCTGAAACCACCTCTCAGATGTTTACGTTGATGGGAAACTGGGCATAGAGACTTATAATCGCTCAAGGGGAATTCCAAAGAGTGACAAAAAAGCCCCGGCTATTTCTCGGAATCGAAGAAACACGTTCTACATGATTGGTACCTACGGAATCAAAACGCCTCAAGGGCTGCGATTTTAAAAAGAAATAATATGTCGATGAATTAATTACACCCTTCCCCCTTTCCCCGACACAATTTAGGCATTTAGAAGGCGGGCTGCAGACCATGCCTGTCAGAGCCAACCTGGGCTGAGAAGGATGGAACAATTTTCCTGCAGAACGACAGAGATGCTAGATGAAAATTTGTCCCCGCTAGGGAATCGAACTCAGGTCCTTTACGTCGAGGAAAATAAAATATTTTCGGCATTATTTAACGGAAGAAGAATTATCACATAAAGAAGGTATGTCATGTAGTGACAAACCACGCTTTTCAAGAGTAGGGTTTAACAGCCTACTCCAGACAGATGTTTACGAAGTGCTCATGTCAAAGGTCCAACTTAAACATTCCGTATCAGAAGACTTTTTAAATATAAATAATACTCATTCTGATATCGTAATACATCTGGGTATAAACTTGCCAAACACCCCGCAGTTCAAAGGTCATATTCGTATATAGCCGGAAGGTTTTCTAAAGTCAAGGAATCTATTATTTTCCTAAAGGGATTGTCTTTAAGTATTTTTGCAGGTGTTTTGCGGCGCTCGCAACTGCTAAAGGTCATATGATTATGAACGCACGGGACACATTAAGAATTTTCAGTTTGGTAGGAATCAACTTCGAATTTTGCCTGGGAGGCGGCGAAATCTACTCTCATCGATTTTAGGACCATCAAAGGATCTGTAACGTGCGCAACTAGCACGCGGGACTTCGACATTTTTTTTGCTTTTATCCGAGAAAGCTAGGTATTAGATCTTATCTATCCTAAGATGAGGGGTGTGGCTGAAAGACAGCAGCAAGGACCTAAAGAATAGCAGTAGAAAGTCTGCGGAAAGAGTCATGAGCCCAGATGAGGAGGCAAAGGCGGTTTTGGGGAAGTGGGGGGGGGGAGTCAGAAAGTGGAAAAGAAAGCAAACGACTGAACATGGTTAGAAAGCAGGAAAGAAGGTGAAGGAGTAAAAGCGGTCCATGTTTCCACCGCATTACTGAAAACTTGGAAAAGTATCAGTATCTAGAAATCATCTGTGGTCTCCACAAACATGGAACTAAAAACAAAATAGACTTACTTTTCTACGGGGATGTTCAAAGTGGTACTGAAGAATTCTGCAATGGCTTTGTGTAGTCTTGGGTTGGTGTCTGGGTGGAATCGTGCTACAGCCAGGATAGAGATGGTCACTGTAGGGTCCGAACTACCTCCGAAGGTCATGTCCTTGCCAGTTTCAATGGTGATGCCAAGGTTCTGTGAGAAATACAAAAAATAAATAAATAAATAAATAAATAAATAAATAAATAAATAAATAAATAAATAAATAAATAAATAAATAGTAGAACAGTTGAAAAAATATATAAATAAATGGATGCTTCTTAACAGTTTTCTTGTTACCAGATACGGACAACATAACTTTAATTAAGAATAATTCGAATTGATCTCTTCCTCCTTCCTCATTTTCTTTTACCGAAAAATCGCGTAACATTGAGCGCCCACAGATTTCTATCTTTTGATAACAAACTATATGTACTGCGGCGCCTTTTGATCAGAATGTTATAGTGAAATCTTGCTTGGGGACATAATTTAATTCCGAAAGTTAACTAAACGAGACTGCACGATTTTAACCCTACATACGCTTCAGACACACGATTACTGAGACTCCTAAAGAGCAGTAAAGAAACAACAGAGAAGTCAGTAGCTTTAAGTTTAAGGTGCTGAAGTTACTCACAGGGGTGATGAAAAGCTCCTTGAAGAATTCAAAAACTCTGGACTGGTAGTCCTTGGGGACAGATTTGGCGTTTGTTTGTATCGTGACAAGAGGCATTCTGAATCTGAGGACAAAAATCAGGCACATTAAAACATAGTTATAGCAGACGCACTCTCACAAGATTGGGTTCTACACTATTCAAGAGACTTACGAAGAGGGCCTTCCCTTGCAATATTCTTGAATGTTGCGCTATACACAGTACTCTCAGAGAGACCTTTGTTCAAGTGGAGTGGAAAGTTTTGACTCGGGTGCCGGTACAGAATTCGGCATTGAGACGAAAATAGATACAATCATTCAGCGTGAATGTCCATACAGAAAGACCCTTCTCCCCGACGAGTTGATTTTTGTTTGCGCATTTGGATGTTGAAGTGCTCAATGTTACAGAAGTGCTCAATAAAGCAGATATATCATGTATCGTACATGGTGTCCAGTTCACCGGGGCAGTACCTGTTAGCGGAATAACAATTAGCAACGCTTATCCTCATTCAAATTACATCGTCTATTTCAGGTAAATACGAGGGTGGAAAGATAGGCGTTGGTCTTGTTGTGGAAAAACAAGTGCGTGGAATCATAGAACACGCAAGATTCGTCTTGTAACCTTGACCTGCTCATATTTTTAATCTGATTTGGGAAAACAGAAACTATGTCTGTGAGATGACGGTGGTCAAAGGGACGTTACACTTTACAGTCACCCCAACTTCTCTTAGGTGTTATTTCAGCTTTCAACACTCTGGCCTTTACTTCGAAAATGTCGAGGATGAAATACTAGCTTTATTTCAAGAAACTAGAAACTGAAAGCGGGAATCCAGAGCGCTATCTGCAGATTTGTGATAATCGATCCTTAGATTGAGGGCAAAGAAACAAAAGAGCAAATCTAGTTAGGAACTGATGAGCTCTTTCGGATATTTCAAATGTCTAGAAAATTATGTCTTCGAAGTATCTTTTTCTTCATTTCAATAAGCAGATGTACCAGATATTTGGACATTTATTATAATCTTCAATAAATAACATTAATCAACCATGTGTTTTGCACAATATGAGAATAGTTTTCAATATAATTCTAGATTAGTATCCTTATGAATAAGAACAATATTATACAGATACGAAATGCAAAGTATAAGCTTCAGTCTTTTGCCGAGAGAAAGATTTTTTTGCTGTATTAGAGTCTTGGAAGGGACTCAATGACATTTTCAATACAATAAGGTTGTTTTGTGTTGTTTTGCAAAAAGTATCAGATTAACGTCCACTAAAGGACTCGTCCAACGAACTAACAGAACGAAGAGCCAAGGAACTCTTAAAAGGATATTTATTCAAGGACGCGTTCGTGGAAAATCGATCCGGGGTCGACCGCACCACATAACTAAAAAAACGTTGAACAAGTGATGGTAATACAAAATTATTAATTCTGTTTTATACATGGCCCACCATTTCCACGACAAAACCGAACTCAGGGGCAAAGTTAATGTCAAACATTTGTCCGTGAGAATGTCAAGTATTATCTCGTGAAATTGAAAAGATTAATAATGTCAAAATGTTTATGAGAGAGAAAGAGGGAAAGAGAGAGAGAGAGAGAGAGAGAGAGAGAGAGAGAGAGAGAGAGAGAGAGAGAGAGAGAGAGAGT